CTATACAGAACGTAAAGACCTTTGGGATCATTTGGGATGACAAATGTTATATAAATGCATTTAATTATTATAATTAATTAAACTATGACAATGTTCCTCATTCTTTGATGAAAGCGGATCAATGTGCTTCCCAGCAGCTAGGACAGCTTTCAGATCCACTTACATAACTTTTCAACTGAATTTACATCAAGTCACCGCGATGGCAAGACCAACTTTGATTGCTTTCCTCTTTGGGAATTTGTGGTTGACTTGTATGGTTTAATAACTGTTTCGCTGAAGAAATGAGGGCTTAGACAGATGAAACTACCCTAGGTATCATTTTAGCTAGTAGTGTGTTTCGGTGCTTTGCTGCTTTTAAGCTCCCTTCAATTATTCATAGGTTTCCAGTTCCTGAAGAGCTAAATCGGATCCACACAATGATGGAATTGTCATCACGCTTGACAGCAGGAATGGGAAACTTGTCACTGTAGGGCATCTTCATTCTGTTACCTATCAGTTTTAGGCCCTGATTCTGAAGCACTTCAATTTCTGACTTCTCAGACCGTACATACCTAAGTATGGTGTCAAAGAACTCAGGCTTGTTGTGTGTTTTGACAAATATTTTGTTCTCAGTTTTGTGTATTTTACTGAGAAAAGACCAAATTGGATGAATCTCTTCTTGTTTAAGTTTAATTGCCCTGTTCCAGAATCCCATCCAGGGTTAATCCATCTTTTCACCCATCACTTGCCAGGATAGGCTCCAGCTCCCCTGTGACCCTGAACTGGATGAAGCAGTTAGAAAATAGATGGATGTCCTGTCCTGTAAAGTTATTATTATCAAAATTATAATTATTCTGTTGTTCCATCCAACTTAGGTTTAATGGATCCACCAAAATCGCTCGTTCATGGCTTAATCTCCCAGGCGAAGCTGTAACTGTTCTCTTTTTAAATAATTTATCTTAATGTAAAAATGTACAGACTACAACTGTGATCACTCTCACACTGTCATTAACTTTTGCTACCAACTATTAATGGCATCCTTTTTTATTGTTATCAACAATATATCACAACTCAATATGATATAACGGCAAATCACTCAATGCATGCTACTACTATGCATCCTTGCTTTTGGCATTTTCATTTTTAATTATTTTTTATCCTGTATTTCAATGTTTTTTGTTTAATTTAGTCTATGTATTATTGAAAATTATATATATCCCCAGATAAATGCACCTGATAAGCATATGAATAACAATAAATTTAGATTAACCATATTTCTTTAGCTAATGACTGCCTTATTAATTGTACAACCTAAAACATAAAGGTGTTCTTTGCGTTTTCTAATTCTGAAAGTAATATGATTGTTAATGAATCTCTTTGGTTAGGTCTCTTTGACTAAATCTCAATGTTTTGTGTCATTTACAGTTTTATGCAAAAGTTTAATTTTAACATGGCCTAATTACATGTTTTGTTGATTTTCTTAATGAAAAGAAGTTAACACAACCTCCGCAGCAAACAAACTTAAACTTGACATATTTCTGCAAATTTTTAATGCACAGTTACTATTTATTTGCTAAATTTAACAGACTGAAAAAAATAAAACAGTAAATGTGGCATATGCAACAGTTTGATCCACTCAGAATTTAATTGACTTGTTAGGCCTTAATCTAAGTCAGGTGATGACAATTCCAGAGCTTCATAAATTCTCTGACTCTTCAAACCTCTCAGGATGTTGTGCTTACACTCAACAACCACGGACTCCTCTAAGCAGCTGACTAAGGATCAGAAAATAAAGATAACTGACTCTTCCGAAGCAGGGAAAGGCTATAAAAAGATATCTAAACACTTCCTGCTTGCAATTTCCCTGTCATAAATGTCATTAAGAAATGGAAGTTAAGGGGAACTTTTGAAGACAAGACAAGATCTGGAAAACCAAGAAAAATCTCTGATAGAACTGCTCGTAGACTGGTGAGGAATGCAAAGCAAAACCCTTATATCACTGCAAAGGACCTGCAGGAAGGTTTAGCTGGCACAGGAGTGTCAAGTGCTGGTGGTCTGATGAAGTAAAAATTGAATTATTTGGCTATAATCACCAAAGGTACGTTTGGAGAATAAAAGGAGAAGCATTTGAAGAAAAGAACACCTTGCCAACTGTTAAGCATGGGGGTGGATCTATTATGCTTTGGGTTTGTGTGGCAGCCAGTGGCAGAAAAATATTGTGCGGGAAGATGGAAGAATGGAATCTACTAAGTATCAAATTCTGGAATTCAGTCAGTGAAGAAAGAAGGGTTCTGCAAAGAAAAGTGGAAAAAATTCGTAAAGCAAGAATAGAAAGATTGTTAGCTAGCTACAAGAAGTGTTTGAAGGCTGTGATTTCTGCCAAAGGTGGTGTTACTAAGTACTGACTGATAGGGTCCCCAAACTTTTGAAAATGCCACATTTACTGTTTTAGTTTTTTAAAATCTGTTAAATTCAGCAAATAAATAGTATCGGTGCAATAAATTTTGCAGACATATGTTGAGGTTAAGTTTGCTCACTGCAGAGGTTAACTTCTTTTCACTTAGAAAATCAACAAAACATGTAATTTGGCCAGGGATGCCCAAACGTTTGCATACAAGCGTACAACTCACCTACTATTTAACTACACTAACTATACTGAGCATAAAGAAATAATTCCAGTCTTACTTTGTTTCTTAGTAAGTAGCTAAGTAAACTAGGATAAAGATGACAGCTACAAAAATATTTAGACAATACAAAATAATCTTAATAAATGCAGTAATAGAATCTGTTTGACCGGTTTTATGTTATTTTAAAAGATACTCTACTTCAGTGCTGTAGTGTAGAAAATTTATTTGTGTAGAAAACATGCAATTATTCCAAAAAGAAAAGAGGGCTTAATGTTCAATTCTATACTGCTTCAACATATTTCTGTTTGGAGGTAATTTTACAAATTCAACTAAACCAATCTGAGCACCATCAGGAATGTGTCCACCTGGGAGAGATGGATAATGACAAGAGCTGGCATATACAGGCTAGAAAAAAGACCAGTTTTGTCAGGAAGCTTTCCGTTCACAGCTGTGAAGCTGTGGAACAGTGAGGTGATTTGATTCTTATTTACAGATTATACAGCATACACACATTATATGAACCAAAATAAAATATATATATATTTAGAGTCACATAGGTCATGCTTTTGGAAAATGTGAAGCCTTTCATGAATAAATAGGAAAATATTCTCACTGTTTATGATAATCAATACAGGAGAGTGAGTTTTCAGTGCCGGCTATTTGACCACAGCAAGTAATTTTACTGGTTTTTGTATCACCAAGATAATCTGTAGCAATGCTGTGTGAACCTCATCTGACTGCCCTGAATTCAAAAAGAATCAAAGTAATGACACATTCCAGAAGGAAAAAGTGTATAAAGTCAAAGTTAGAAATAATTCTTCAGTTACACTTCATGTAGCCTGAAGGATGAATATCTAAAAGAAACCGAAAAGGCATGCAAAAATCAAATTTGCAAAAACTTGTTAAAGAATACACAACACAAATACAAGATTTTAGATGGGTATCATTTTAGATTATTTTACAAAGAGTGCTAAAAATGTAAAGGGTGGTTGATCTGCAGTATGAAATTTCCTCCTCTGCACAGGGAAACAATAAAACAAATGCAAAGTAAATGCAACTTTTCAACCTACTTTCAATTTCCAATTTAGACAGAGAATAACAAAAGTATTCATCTTTTTTTTCCAATAAATATTAAAATATTGAATGACAAACACATATTGAGCAATTCTGTAAATCTGGACAAAAACATTAAAATTCAAAGGGAAATAAAGCTATGGACCATACACTTCTAGACAGGGAAGATTTTATTGTTTTATATACTTTTATTTATTAATTACCACTTGGAAGGACTGTATTCTATAGGGATAATAGGGTCAGTTTGCAAACTGCATTCAGTATCAAACAAATACTGTCATGTACATGGTAGAAATGATAGATAGTAAAATCTGCCTTTTTTAGTAAATATTTCCGATACCTGAAAACAATGAAAGCTAAAACTATGACTTATAACTAACTTGTAACTAACAAAAAATCAGCAAGAAAGTAGCTGGCTTTCTAAACGCTGGTACAAGGAAAAAAAAAATATACAAAGCTATTATTTAGCCCCAGTTACTGTACCTGCAATTCATGCTTTATTTTGATGTTTGTTCTTAACAGAACCTTCTTTTTTTCTAATATCAGTGTTCTATACTGAACACACTGCATTTGTTGTCCCTCGTTTCTTCAGCCAGTCATAATAAAAGCTGTTTCTGCACACTCCCCATATATGCAATTTGAACTCTTGTGCAAAATATGACCCCAAAGATACTGAATTCAAAATGTGTTGCCAGAGAGTTTCGAACAGAATTGAGGGCAACTAACAAAACAAGATGTTCTCTCTCGAGCCAAAGCTTTCTGCTATCTCCAACCTTTAAGGGAAGTGAAGAAGCTGTTACTCAAGCGTTAAAACAGCTTAAGTGTAAAATTATTTAAGCTCAGAGAGCAAAGATCCAAACATTTAGGTTGATAAAATCATCTGACAATTTATTAGAAGAAGTAACAATTAATGATCTTTAATGCCTCATTTGGTTTTAACTCATTTCTTCTGTGTGCACACTGTATAAATGAAGTGCCACAAATTTCCCTGGTGGCACCACAAGGGCACATGAAAGAGGAGGAATATTTTCTTTTGAACGACACTGAGTGGGGGAAAAGTTAAAAAAAAGACCTAGATGAATTTATGAATGTTTAATATAAACGACAGATTAATGAAATGTGTTACAAAAAGTGTGACTCCTTAAATCTTAATTTTAAATTGGAAAATGTCTTCTGAGTAAGGGTTATGTGATAACACTTTTCACTGCGGGGAAAAAAAAAACAAGCAAAATAGCTACAGAATATTCAGAGAACACAGGCAATTGGCCTGTCAGGCAAATAGAGTTTTTTTTCTTGTTTATTTAAAGTTTTTTTTTGTACCTGCATAGTCCTCTGGGTGCCGTTGATACTGACAGGTAACAAAGCAGACGCCAGGTTCCACTCACTGGTCACGTCCAAGCTCTTCACTCCCATCTCCACCTGCAGCGACGAGCAGACAAGACTGTTACTGAGCAGACAGACAAAAAACAGATCTCAAGTTCATCGCTCGTGTACCATGCGGCAGCCATTTTAAACAGATGGCGCCCAAACAACCTGTCATGTTTACTGCTGCTGCCATAAAAGACAAGAGTCCAACAACATGGTCTTCCGAGCGCCCCTGGGGAGTGGCAGGAGACCTGCGAACAGCTGCCGGTGGGAACTCAGGGTTTCAGGCAGTGCCGCGCGGCGCACAAAACAGCCATCCAAACTCCTCTACCTATCCGGACATGCTACATTTACTGCAATTAAACAAGCACGCCATTTGAATATCCGGTGACACTTTGCAACCTGCTCAACGGGGCCTGCATATAATCTCGTCCCCACGGAGTAAGGAAGAAATTGTCCATGTCACTATTAATGAAGGAATTTGCATTGTTATCTTAATTAAGGGGAAATAATGAAGCCCACTTCTGAATTAGTTAATCGACAAAAACTTGTACAAATGTGTTTGCATGGCCTATATGCATGGCCTACTGATAATGTATATTCTACTAGGGTACCAGGGTTACATCAAGTGGAGGATGCTACTTTATAATAAGAAGACATGTCGGTACAGTTTTTTTAGCTTTTCAGGACTCAAGATGTTTTTTTGACCCCCACCTCAGCCCCCCCAACTCCCTTTTAGCCACATCAGAAAATGGCTTAAAAAGAGACAAGTGGACAGGTTAACTCCAGTCCTCTGTTGTACCGATTTATGGTGCTTCAAACCTCATCACAACTTGACCATGTTAAAAATGTAATCCCACCTGGGTTCTTTTAAAATGCATAGTCGTTGAGGGGACTATTATCAGAAGTAAAGAGTTATCAAATAGGAAGGATCATTGTTTTTTGACCTGAAGAGAAATGTTGAGTGGATGGATGTGTGCCGAAGTGGTGTGCAACTCGACAGCTTCCAAAGTACTGCTCAACACGGGGATCTCAAGTGTTCTATGAATTATTAATTTGGCCAGGAAGACCTGAGTGAGAAGATGGTAAAGAACAGGGGCACAGATGATAGTAAACAGGCCTTGCACCAGACAGCAATTTTGGAATTAGCTCTTGAGAGGCTCCAAAGCAGACATATTAACCCTCCAGACCACCATATGAAACACTCTGGACTTAACAACAAACCCGTTTTTAATGCTACATTTTTTTTTAAATCAAAAAAGGAAATTGTCTGGTGAAAAATTAGGCGAAAGGTCTACTGATACAAAGTTACTTGCTACATTTTCTGCTAAATGTTAGTGCAAAATAATCACTACACAGTATCATTGAAAAATACTATATATTTCTGTAGTTATTTTCTGAAGTGAATTGCGTTCATCTTCAGTCATGGGATTTTTTATCCTTCTGTTAACATATCCCTTAGATGTTTTTGACAAACAGTTTATTTTTTAGATTGATTACTCATTCTATTAATTGCACTAAGGTGAATCTTTACTTAAGCAGAACTAACATAAGTGTCCTGCCTGAATGAAAGTTCAATGCTGTAGTACAAAGACCACAAACAGACCATAGACAGAATAATTTGGTAGGATGTAGTGGGAAAAAATGATAGTACACTATTTCAATATTTCATATTTTAATTATATATTTTCATTTCATTTGTAAATGAACAAGTGAGTGTTTTGCATTATCTTACACTACAAAAAACATTCCTCCCTCCTCTTAAAACCAAAATGTGTGCATCACAAATGTACATTTTACAAAGAGACAACAAGTTAGTAGTATGACCAACCACATGATTCTGATAAGAATATAACCATATAACCATCTGAGCTGTTTTGTGTGGTTTTATATAAAAGAAGCACAACAACTGTATTAACAGCTTATTGTACCAATGTAAAACAATTTGTATATAAAAGACACATTTTATGGTTAAACACTTAAATGGTTCAATCGGAAACAACAATCAAAAGAGACTTGTGGCCTATAAAATGTATGCAATATTCAACATCTTCACACCTGCCCTCTTGCTATGAAGTATAATCCATGTCTTGTCTTTATGTAAAAAGGACACTTCTGGCTCAGAAAAAAAACACGAGAGCTACGGTCCCCAGAATTATAGTTTAAAGACACGGAGAGTCTGTTTGTTCATCTCATTTTATCTAAACTGTTCTCACAGTGCAAATTAATGACTTCAGTCTGTAAGAAAGAGAATTTTTCCATAGCAACATAAACTGTATCACATCCTGTCATTTCAAAAGCGCTGATGCTATGGAGAACATATTAAATTGAGCAGGTTAATGGGAGAGGTTAATGGGAGAGCTGCTAGTGTCACAGGCAGCTTTCCATGCCTTACCTGGCTCAACAGTCGTTAGACTTTCCTGACCCGGGAACAAGTTCAATTTTCCAGAAATAACTGTTGACGCTTCAATGACCGCTTCGCGCCCGTTTTTATATCAGAACGGGCAATCGGACTCTTAGATAACGGTTTGAAAAACACTGGGACCACAATACAAAGTGGAAGTGGAAACTTTACTGTAAAAGTGGAGGGGACAATAGCTGTTCTCCACCCTGGCAAGTATGCAGGAAAGAAAACAACCAGAAAAAAAAAAACTAATTACCAGCAGACCATTAAACTTGGCGCAGTGCACTGGCTCACCTACACAGCAAATTGAAAAGGATACAAAAGGCTTTGAAGGCAATGCTATATTAATCTTTGAAAATATTTAAAATAGGTTTACAGTGTGATCCATGTGCTTTATAGAAATTAATGGGAAGTCAGATTCAGCATATTTCTTGTCTGAAAAGTAGAAATTACACCAGGATAATAAGACTACCATATACGGGGGGGGAGAAAGACGTACTACTGAAATTCAAGTCAAAACAAAGAATCATATATATATATATGCTTCATTTCTTTTTTCTGTTATCATTTTTTTGTGAAACTGCCACATGGATTAATACAGCACAGCTGTATGGGGCAAAGGGACATACTGGATGAAACGGCTGTCTCTCTGAGAAATCAAGAAACACTTCTTGATTTGCAACTAAAAAAAAATTTCGTTCTAAGTCACATACTGTAGGAAAACATTTTACAGGAAATACTAAATGCTGAATGGAGTAAAGATCTCTTGTATTTTGCAGAGCAGTTTCACTAGTCTTTTTCTTTCTTGTGTAGTACTGAAATAAAATTGCTGAGTTCATACCATGAAGACAAAAACTATGTCAGTCACAGTTCAGTCTCACTAGTCAGTCTTTTTTTTTTTATCTTGCAGCAGGACATTCCTCTGTGTTGTGGGGAGAACTGCAAAACCTTGAGACAAGCAAGAAATGATCCCTCATAATTATTTCTAAACTTGACATTAAGATTCAATTAAAAGTGATTTGTTCATTTTTTATTAATGTTTATTATGATGTCGATCTTGTCACCGTTTTTTGTATTTTGTGGATCTGCTTTAATCTACAGTGAATGTACAATAAAGCCTTCTATTTTTCCTCCTGGTCAAGGGATTTAATTTTCTGCATTTTAAGTCAGTATAACAAGCCATGCCTTATGCAAAGCTTTAAACATATATAAACAAGAACATTAAACTAGAAGGCAATTTCAGTATGAGAATTTTTTTTTCTTTGTAACCAACACAATCATCTCATTCAAATTAGCTGCTTAAACAAGCACTCATTTCAGCGAGCCAGTATAAAAATTTTGAACTAGAATCCCAATTATGATGGGCTGTGCTGTCAGGTTTACTTTTTATTTAAACTTATTTCTGAACTGCGCTTATGGGAACACATTGGATTATAGCAGAGTAAATCACCTAAAAATGGATCCAATTCAAAGGCATAAGAAAAAAAACTAATTTCATTTAAAACCTGACATCTCTGCTTCAAGACTTTTTATGTTTAAGAGATCACTCCCTGACACCAGCAGATATCATTATATGCTGATGAAACCTGGCAGCCAGAAAGAGATGTTTTCGATGTGAAGCCAGTTGTATAAATACCAGATCTCACTGTCAAAAAGGAGCTCAACTTCAAAACAACAGCAGAACTGTGAACCTTACAGAACCTTTCAAGAGATGCCTGTTTGAAGTCCTGGCATTTCACGTTATGGGTGAATGAAATAAGAATTCTATTGCAACAAACGATCATCAGACCCATATGATTCCCTAATTAAACCCATGTGTGGCACTTGCACCAAGAGGTTTTTCCCACCAAAAGCCTATGGGAGCTGTACCCGGTCAAGAGCACAAGTTGCATGTGTAAAAACATTCAGTCGCAAAATGACACAAATCCTGCAAGATCATGACATATGAAGGAAAGAGAGGCCTGAGTTTTGGAAGTACAACTGAATGGTGTTTCACCAGTGTCAATGATACCCTTTTTATGGCTTTGAATTATTTTAAAGTTTGAACTGATTCACCAAGACAGGAATAAAATCGCCCTGCTGGCACAAGTAAAGATTTGAATTTTTTATGTTCCCGTTCTGCGTAAAAAAGGTTTCAAGTTGAGGGGGAGGTCAGGCACCCATTTCTTTTTATTTCATGTGAGTGGTAAAGAATTATACGAAATGATCCTTTCTGGACTGGTTCTCCTAATGCAACTCGGCACTGTTAAACAAGTAGTACACATTAAAGGTCAAGGACCGAAGAGCAGGGCATCAGGAGGTGAACACAGAGAAAAGAAACAAAACAGAAAAATTTCATATTTTGAAAGTATACATGGAATCTCGAAGCACAAGAGGAATGGAGGCGAACATTAAAAAAACAATCATTCTGCATTAAAATATCAAACCATGAATTTCAGATGCCAAAAACCATATATGCACATACGCACAGGTGCGCACACAAACAAAATAACAAAACAGGACAAGGGAGAGAATGTTAGCACTTTGAGCTGCAGCCTTACAAAATAATCTTCTTATGTAAAGGCCATTGTTTTTTAATGTGGAAGGAGAAACCATGAAGGAACTAATAAAGGCAGAGGTAGTGAAACAGGGGTCATAATGTCTCCGCAAT